ATTAGTTTTTTAATGGTTTAATTTTTAAATATTAATACATTCAGACGAACAAAGAAAAAGGATATATATGTTATTAGCACACTAAAACGACCAGTTCCACTTGAACATTTTCTATATGCAAAAAAACAAATTTATAAAATAGTTAATGCTGATCGAAGATTTCTTAAAGAAGGGTATGTATGTTAATTAATTAAGTTAAGACATCACATGTTATACATACCAATTATAACTTGAAAGATATTTGTTTATTTTGATATTATAATAGATATAAATTAGCAAATGAAGCATTAACCAAAAAAGATAAAGAGGTAAAAACAAAAGTAAGCACTCGTGGAGGTCATGGATCATCATCTCGCGGTGGAAAAGGAAGTAATAGTAGTTCTGGGGCTAAATACTCTATGCAACCGGTATTTTATTTTATTTTTTGGAATATAAATCAATAAATTTTTTTTTAATTAAACAAAATATTAAAACTTATTTATTATTTTATTTTATTATTATTATTATTATTATTATGATTATAGGATAGAAGCATGTGGATTCATCTTATTGATCTTTTGAAAAAGAAAGAACTTTTGCCTACTGTAAATTTTACCTTTTCCAAAAAAAAATGTGATGAATATGCTAATTATTTAACAAATTTGGATTTATGCACTTCAGATGATAAAAGTAAAATTCATCTTTTTTTAGAGAAAAGTTTAAATAAGCTAAAACTAACAGGTTATATTTTAATGCATTTTTTAATCGCAATACAATATTATTTTTATATTAATTATTATTTTTTAATGTTGTAGAAACTGATAAAGAGTTACCACAAATTTTAAGAATGAGAGATTTATTAAGTAGAGGAATTGCTGTGCATCATGGTGGTTTATTGCCAGTTATCAAAGAGGTACAAAATAAAATTAAATTAAATACAGTAATCTAGTGTTTCAAATCTGTGTATTATTTTTTTCCTTTTTTTAGATGGTAGAAATTTTATTTTCAAAAGGACTTGTCAAGGTTTTATTTGCGACAGAAACTTTTGCTATGGTGGGTACAACTAAAAAAGATATATTTAATATTAACATTAAATTGCATGCACATATTTTAATTTTGTTTTTATATATATATTAAAAAGGGTGTAAACATGCCAACAAAGACCGTTGTATTCTCTGGAATAAGAAAACATGATGGAAAAGAATTTAGACAATTGATTCCTGGTAAAAAAATATAACCTTCTTCTTCACAATTCACTAATAATAATAAATATCTTATCAATAAATTTATTTTAAAAAAATTTATTCAGGTGAATATATTCAAATGTCCGGCCGTGCTGGCCGTCGTTCATTCGACAAAACAGGTACTGTGATTATAGTACCGTCAGGAAATGAATTTCCTAGTGTAAGTCATTAGAAATAATTATCTATTAGTTTGTCTTAATTTTATTTATTTAATGTATTTTGGATTTTATATATGATAATAAATTTTTAGGAATCTCAACTTAATGCAATGATTTTAGGAACACCAACTAAATTAAAATCCCAATTTCGTCTTACATACAACATGATTCTCAATTTATTAAGAGTTGAATCATTTGAAGTTGAAGATATGATTAAACGTAGTTTTTCGGAAAATACGAGTCAAAAAACATTACCAGATAAAGAGCGAGAATTTGCAGAAGTAATAAAAAAAATGGGGGGTTTAAAAAAAAAGAAAAAATATTAAGCAATTAATTTAAAAAAACTTTATTAATATAGAGAGAAAAGATTCTCAAGGCCACAAAAACACTCGAATGTACAATATGCAATCATGATATAAAAGAATTTTATAATATTTCAGCCAATATTCTTGATTTGAATCGAAAAATCATTACAAAACTGGCAGATACAAAAGCATTAAGTCAAGGGAGAATCATTGTTGTTAATAATATTGTATGTTTGTTTTGCTATGTTGTACTTCTTATTATTAAAATAGTTAATGCTATGTATTTATGTAATTATAATCCATTTTTATTATGTAGGCTTATGGAAATGTATTTGCTGTTATATTAAACCCTTCCTTTGAAGTTTTAATGCTTTTGGATAAATCCAGTAAAGGTATGCTGTGGATTTCTTATTATCCCATTTTTGTGATAAATTTGTGATGACGATTTATTAAAATAAATAAAATTAATTTTTTATATTAGATACTATTAATTCAAAAAAATCAACAATAATTCCTATAACCAATATAACAATTCCTGATCAGAGTTCTTATACATATGATCGTCAATTCATTTCAATTACCAATATTATAACTGTCACAAAATTCACAATTAAAGTAAATAACCTAATTCCTTATATATTGTTATTATATTATTATATCGAATAATAATTATTTTTAATCTATCTCAAAAAAAAAACAGTTCGACGACTTAACTGATGTGACTAAATTAGCTCAACAATTACTTCGTCACGCGTTAGATATGAAAAAAAGTAATATTTTATATATATTTACATTATCAACGAAAAAGTGTCAACCAACTAATCAAAAATTAATTTTGATGATATAAGCCGGTATACTGGAGAATGATTGGTCAAAAATCAGGACGTTTGAATTTCAATTGAACTTAAAAGAGAAAGTTCGGCTCATGAATAAAATATATTCATTTCAATGTATAAAATGCCCGGAATTAAATGAACATGTGAATATATATTTTTGGCTGCTAATATTTAATTAGATTTGGTTTAAATAGAATTTATCTATATGAAAACTTAAAACTTATTTTTTATATGCATATATTTAGTATGGTCTTATACATGAAATAATGTCATTAGGAAAGAAACTCGATGAATTGCTTCATACAATAACTGGTGAAAATTTGGAATTAATGCCAGAGTATGAACAAAGAATAGAAGTTCTTAAATCTTTAAAATATATTGATGAAAAAACTTCAGTGGTTCAATTGAGAGGTCAAATTGCTTGTAAGGTGTGTATATATATTCTTGATGTGGATCATAAAATAATAATATTATTATTATTTAAAAAATTTTATTACACTACTCGAAACAATTGTTCGCTTTTGCTATTTACTTGATTATTATATAATTACAGATTGTTAAAAAAGCGGACAATGGTTTTACATAAGGTAATAATATTTACGCCATTTATTCTTTTATTATAGATTAATACTGCTGATGAATTGTTAGTCACTGAATTGATTTTTGGAAATGTTTTGAAAGAATCTGAATATGACCCAGCTGAAATTGTTGCATTATTATCATGTTTGGTATTTCAAGAAAAAAATGCTAGTGAACCGACTTTAACTCCAAACTTAGAAAAAGTAATGTTCATTCAATATTTTGTAGTGTATATATATATGATCAAAAATATAATATCTAGTTAATTTATCTTATTTATGAAAAAAGGGTGTTGCAGAAATAAAAAAAGTTGCGAAGTATGTTGGAGAGGTTCAAAGAAACAAAGAAGTTGATATTCAAGTAGGTGATTATGTTGAAACAATTAAGTTTGGATTAGTTGAAGTAGTATATGAATGGGCAAGAGGAATGGTAAACTTTTTAAATTTTGTTATTGCAGAGTAAAGTATTTTCAGAACTTGATGTTTATTTAAAATTTTTTTAAAAAAGCCATTTAAAGATATAATGGGATTGACAGATGTGATGGAGGGTTCAATTGTTCGATGCATTACGAGATTAGATGAAACCTGTAGTGAAATAAAAAGTGCTGCACAGTTAATGGGAAATATAGAATTATGTACTAAAATGGATAAAGCTCGAAGTTTGATAAAACGTGATATTGTATTTGCAACTAGCTTGGTAAGTAGTATGATAATACATGATGATATTAAAAGTTCATTTGTAATTATATAATCTGTAAAAGTTATATAATGTAATACTTTTAAAAATGAGTGATCTGCATTGATTTTAAATAAGGATCATCTCAATAATCTCCAACCAATTTTCCAAAAAAAAAAATAAAAATGACTAACCAACCCTTATTAAAAGTAAAATTAATATCACTAGGTTCAATTATTCCTCATTTACATTGTGGACCAAATTTACAGCACTGGTGGTCCCTACATAATGAAAAAAACTTGGAGGATGGTGTCTTATTATACCCTATACATGTTGGATGGCAAACAGTTTTAGAAACAAATAATAAACACTTTTACACTCAAGTCCAAGAAGGGAATGAAAATTATGAAAATTGACCTGGTTATAAGTGTCATATTGGTGCAAAATATAGTGATGTTGAAGAAAAGCCAAGTCCAGCAGTTAATTCTTTGTATAGACAAGTTTTTCCAGCAAGTAATACAAATTATTCTGGACCACAAGTACTGGGATGGACCAATTCTGAACTACTAGAGCAATCATTGACAGGGATTGAGTTTTGACCATTTTTGATAAAAATTGACAGATATAATATATATGTTACTGCTTTAGGATGTCCAGATGAAATTAGCAATTTTGGAGCTGGGATTGGGTATTCAGCAACATTTGTTGGTGAATATTTAGATAAAGGGGCAACGTATATTCAAAGAATTGATGTAGATGGATGCCATATTGAAATTTTTCAAGACAATGAATTAAAAAAAGAGTATTTAGGAACAAGTCAAAAATTAAAAAAATTTCAAGGAACTCAACTTTTTGGACTGGAACATTTATTAACAAAGAAAATTTTGGCAGAGTTCAAAATCCCAAAATGTGATGCAAAGTTTTGGGAAAATATAAATATCATGAACCTAGTGTTCCATGTCGCAATCCAAAAAAGGAAACAAAATGGTCGTAAAGGTGGTTGCAACCAGTGGTTGCAATCATTTTTATATGACGCAAAGGTGGTAGCAACCATCATCAAAAGTTGCAGCCGGTATCCTTACATGAACCACCTTTATAATTACCATCTTCGACACCAAACTAAATCTAACATCCAATGGCACCAGTTTTTCATAAGATGGAAAAATAATTCAAGCACAATAATAGAATTTAATTCTCTTTTAGCAGAACTTTACCCATCAGGATATACTTTCAAAGAACATGAACTTAGAGCATGGAGAGCAATGCTTAAAGCAGCTGGTTGCCATAATGTAACTCCATTTGAAGATGATGAATCTAAGGTAATTTAATGAAGATAAGTTTAAATTCAATTTTTATTTAAAATTAATAAATTTGAAAAAAAAAATATATAGTATCAATTTTGGAGTTGTTCACTAAATACATTACAAGATCAACAAACACTTTCTCAGTTGTATTCTCAGGGGTTTCTATCACCAACACCAATACATAAAAAAACTCCAATAGATGAAGAGCATATAAGCAAAAAATTTTGGGAATGTTTTGGAGAAGCACTAAATAAAAATAAAAAAGAACAAGATGGTTGTATTCGTGTGCTGTCAATAATTGCAAACAAATTTACCTATGCTGAATTGCAGAAAAGCTTTGTGTAAGTAAATTGTCACATCATTAAAATTTTTGAAATTGTATTTATATTATTTACTTCTAATAATAATTAAAAAAAATACTTATGTTTTATGAAGCTTTCAGCAAACAGTGTGACCAGTGCCAGATTGTATGCTAAAACCAATGGTCCTGGTTGCCTTGCATTAAGCAAACCTGCAATCACTAAAGTAAAACTGTCAAAAGAATCACTGGATCAATTTATGACATTTTTACTTGATAAAAATAATACAACACCAAGTTCATATAAGGTAAATGAAGCAAGTGGCCTCCTGTAATGTATTTAAAAAACAATAAAGAATCATTATGGCAATGTTTTTTTGAATTATATCCAGATGGTATGAAAAGGACAGCTTTTATGACAAGATTAGAAGATAGCTGATTTGTATATTGTGAAGATCTTGGTGGCTTGTGTTTGACATGTAATGAATATGGATTTGGTGTTTTTGAAGAGATGAAATCACTTGTTCAAGAAAAAATTAATAGAAAAGATATCCAGGTTAGTGAATTGATGCTCAAATGATTTTAAAGAAATATTTTTAAATTTTGATTATTCATTATTAGAATGAATTGATAACTCAACTTGAAAAAACACAACGTCATTTGAATCGAGAATATGGAAATGAATTGATTATAGATGACCTTGGTAATGTGCAGCATGATAATTGTATTGAACATTGTTTAAACTTTGCATTTGGTGATTGCAATGAACATCATCCTATTAGTTGTGAAAATTGTAGTCAAATAGATCTTATTTTCCAAAAGATTCTACAATTTACTCCAAATGAAAAAAGCCAAATAATTGAACTCTGGGAAAAATTACAATATTTCTGGGCTCACCAAGCCAGGAAAACATATCTCAATGCACAATCTAAAGCTGCATTACTTCGTCTAGATAAGGATGGTGCTGTGATCATAGTTGACTACAAAATGAAGATTTTGCCTCAATCAGCACGAGAGGTGAAATCTGATTTTTTTGGAAAAAAAGGATATACTTTGCATACCTTACTAGTATATACAAGAAAATCTGATGATTCTACTTCATTGAATCTTGAGGTTTTAGATCATTGGTCATCTGACCCAACACAAGATGCTTGGTTCACAGCATCATCCTTTGATGGTTTATTTTCTACAATGGAAAAAAAACCTTTATGGATTGAAGTGTTGTCTGATAATGATGCACATTATCATAATAAAGAGTTGATGATGATGATTAGTCAATGGAGTAAATGGTATAATATAAAAATAAGATCATGGATTTTTTTGGAACCTGGTGAAGCAAAGACTACTGTTGATTCCCACCATGCACATGTATGTTAATTTTATTAAAAAATTTTTACCTATATATAGAGTAATAAATAAATTTGATAATTTTAGTTAAAGCATGCAATAAAACGATATGTACATATTGGATATGATATCTGGAGTGGGGAAGATATAGTAAATGCAGCAAAAGGACTTCAAGGAACATCTATTGCAAACCTTAACCCTAATGAAAGACCAAAAAAAGCAAATAAAACATTATCCATTCTAGAAGGTATTACAAATTGGTCATATTTCACTTGGCCTACAGATGGTGACTTATCTGGCTATATTTGTGCACGTTCTTTACCCAATTTTGGTACATGGAATACCTTTTCACCATTTGATATTAAGAAATCTCTAAAAGGCCAAGAATTAATAAAACCAAATCCATCAACTTCAGTCAAAACAACACCAAGCTCAGAATGGACCATCCCATTGCCTAGTAAAGGTAGGATAAAGTTTAATTTTAATTTAAGACAAATTATTAATGAAATGAATTAAATTATTTTATTTATAATCACTATTATTATACTATATATTTGTTTTATTATTACTACTAATACCAATTCTATTAATAAATTTTTTTTGTTCAAATTTATTGTTTATTATTATCTTATTATCTTTATAATTTTTTCTTTTCCACAATTAATTTTTTTCAGAGAAAGATCCAAATAGATTGTCCAAGGATGTTGTAAAAGCTGAATTGAAAAAAAGAAAAATTGAGTATGAAGAGAAGGAAAGTAAAAATGAATTAGTAGAAAAACTACGAAAGCAAATTGGAGAAGAAACTCTAAACAAATCAAAGGTATATTATATAAATCTAAATAAACATTTCCTTATCTGAGCTTATTTCCCCTATGAAAATTTGTGTAGAAATTCATTCACAAGGTGCAGTGTTGAACAATGTACCATCCATATCAATTGAAATATCCAAAACAAAAAAATGCAGTATAATGATACCTGGGAATGAAGATGAAGCAGTAAAAAAGAATGAATACAGGCACTTATAATAATAATAATGGACCTTTCTATAATGGGTCTTGCTCTATAACAGACTGAGAATTTAAGTCTTGTTTATAACAGACATTTTTTCCTAAGTGAACTATAAATAGGAAAAAAAATTAATAAAATAATAAATAATAAATTAACAAATTTTAAAATTTTCTAGAGGGAATTACTTTGAACTGGGTTGGGCTCTTCGTGAAAACCAAAATTTTGGAAAGCATGGTGGAAGTAAATGCATGTCTGAACAGGTAAAACAACTTCTAAGAGCCTATTTTTTGTCAGGAAATATAGACAAGAAGAATAGATTCACTGCTGAAATGATGCTTGCAGATCTAAAACAAAGAGTAGAAGCAGGCATGTTGGATCCGAATGAGTTACCAAAAATAAAAACTATAGAAAATTGGATAATGCATTTTAGTAGAGAACATAAAAAAGAGTCAGCTGAGAAAGAATTGGACATTATGTTATAAACATACAAACCAATAAACATAATTTTTAGTTTTAAGTCATTTTATTATGCGTAAAAAAGTTGGTTTTATACCCATAATCCCCAATCAAGATTGAAATAGTGCAAAAATGGCTTGGACAAAAAAAATTTTTTTTGATAAAAATATTCATAACAGTCTGTTTATTGATATCCTAATGTTTGTTTTACAAAAATGCAAATGAAAACATGATGTTACAGTAGTAAAGTAAGGCAAACTGGATGATTTTTACTATAAAATGTTGTAAATGCACCCCACTAATCACTAATTAACATTCACTCATTTTTAAAAGAATCACGAATTAATGATTATAGATGATCTGCACCTTACTATTTTTTCAATGAAAAAGATCTGCATAAAATTTAGCCAATCAATTTTGTTTTGATGTTTTTTCTAGAGTATTTTTAAAATTACACAATGAATCTAATTACTATGGTATTCAGAAATTCTAAATTTGGAAATCTCCCTGACTGTACATATATAAACTTGATAAGTTGGTCACTCAATAAGTCAGTCTCACTATTAAGGTTGCTTGCCAAAACTCCTCCAGAAATCAATCAGCAGGGTTACACATTAATTGTTTATTAGAGTTTTGGCAGAGTTTCACATTTTGAGGTTTTGCCATTTCGGCATAGTTTCAACAGGATTTTTGATAAGATTTAATAGAGTTTTACCATGGTTTCAGCAATTACTAAGGAGGTTTCGCCCACAACCTTACTCACTATAAGTTGGCCAAAATTTTCACCCCATTTTCTTAATATTTAAGTAATTTAATTTGATAAGTCAGTTTACTCAATAATTCAGTCATATGAGCACACCCCACTAAGAATACTGGCTGCAACTTTGATGATGGTTGCTACCACCTTTGTGTCATATAAAAATGATTGCAACCACTGATTACAACCACTTTTACAACCATTTTGTTTCCTTTTTGGGTTGCAACATGGAACACTACACCACACATGGCTGACTATCAAGTTTACATATGTAACGTATGTATTGGATTTCCCAACTGTTTTAAAATATTTTAAAACTTACAATAAAAAAGCATGAATTAAAAGAAACAATAATCACATTACCACTAGATACTGAATATTGGAGCAGTTTAGACAGTCTATGGTATAACCAATATATTTATCATGCCATTAAGGCAAGAAAGGTTTCATACTGTGAGATAGTAAAATAAGGACTGATAGAGAGGTCCTCACTTTGTTGATCAAACCAAACCAACTTACTGTGGAAGTCACGTGACGACCATTATATTTTGTGTAACTGCTGTGTCACACATTGCGCAATGTTACCTAAAAATTATTCCCATTCATATTTCTATATTTATATTTAATAATTATTCAGCTGATGCAATTATTTATTTTTAATTATTAATCATATTTATTTAGTATTAATAAGCATATTTTATTGAACAAAGTAGAATAGAAGTCATGTTATTTGTAATACCTAAGAGGTATAAAAGGACTTGGTTTTAGACTAAGGTTTCTGATCCAAACTGTTTTCTCAAACCCCAAACTAGTTTGGGCAATTTGGGCTTCTCAGCATTTTTTATAAACATGAACATTAAAAACTATACCAGTCAACTTATTTTAACTTAGACAACTTTAAAGTAATTTCACACTAATAACAAAAAATAGTTTGGGCTTATAAAAAAGTAATTTTTGCCCAAAGTGTTTTGGCAATTTCGGCTACTAATAAAGAGAGTTTTGGCCAGAAACCTTATTTTAGACCAAGTCAGAAGGAATGTTCTTAATAATTTAAAAATTAATATTGTAATATTATTGCTAATAAAATATATAACATTTACTTTAAATAATCCTACCTGTAAATTAATAAATAATCCATTTGGGTACATAATATATTGACAGAGGGAAACCTTTGATCTAAGCAGGAACCTAACACTTTAATTATTCAGACATACCTCAGGGGGCGCCTTTGAGATATACCAGTTAAGCTGATTAAAAGGGAACTTTAGTCCAGATTTAGGGTTGTACAATAAAAGAAGTTTTGGTTGTAAAACAGAGGTTCTAGGAAAACCAGACATGTGCCATAGGAAGGCTATCTAGACTTAGGATTGTAAGTTAGCAAAATCAACTGTAAAACAGAAGTTCTAGGAAATCCAGACATGTGTTGATACCAAAACTTGACCAATAAGCAAGTAAATTGGATTGCATGCTTTCAATACAAATTTATAGCTCCCTGCATATTTTAATTGGTGATAACAATTATTTTTGTATTTGTGTGGATCAGGATGAATAGGTTATCAATGAATTGATTTTGGTATTAGTGAATAATTTTTGTTTAAAGAAGATAAAAGTTTAAATAAATTATTCATTTTATTTATTTAGTTTTTTTTTAGTCAAAACTAATTTACTTATCAGAAGTTTTCATTAGTTGAAAATAATTAACTTGTGAGAATGTTACTTTTACAATAGGTCGAAATTGAGTTCTTTATATACATATTCATTTATATATGAGCCCACATTGGACGATTTTGCCCAGGTTGGATGATTTTGCCCACCCTGGGACCATCATCATTAATCTCTACTAAATAAAGTTGAACATGCTACAAATTAAATAATAATTAATTAAATATATGGAATTTTACATGAATATGAATGATAATAAATAATTATACAAGTTATTAAAACAGTGAAATGTCAGGGTCCTTAACAATGTTTATATTAATGATAACAATCATGGTAATGATATTAATAAAATTCTATCAACACTTCTTCTATTACAATAAATAAAAGCATAAATCAATTAATTCCTACAAATGATATGGTGCGAATCATCTAAAGACATCACGTGCTGCGCCACTTGCCGAAAATTTTTATGCTGATCTTGCTTTATAAAGAATCCAATATATAAAATAAATCCAAATTTGTAAAAGATCTGTGACTTTGTCACGTGAATAATTGGTAAATAATCTGTAAATTGCAGTTTAGATATATAGTTGCCGAAATTTCAAATAAAATAGCAAAGTTACCCAACTTTAAACCTTTATAACTTTTTTTTTTAATTAAATAACTCAAAAAAAACTTTCTATTACATTGTTTTTCATGTCTAGAATATTGCAAAAATAGAGAGTTTTTGGTAAAATAGCCCATATTTATTAAAGTATCAGCACTTAAAGATTGGCAACATTTGATGATGTCTTTAGATGATTGCCACTATATCACAAATAATACCACTAATAATAATATTAATAATACACTAATAAAAAATATAAACAACAATAATTTATACAAAAAGCAACAACACAAACAAGCATCAAATTCTTTCTCATTGCTTCAAGCATTAATACATCTAAATCTGTTGGAACAAACTAGTATACTTCTAAATACTAATGGCAGCATTTGAGATCTTGAAACCAGATAATTCAGACATTTTCCAAAAAGGCAAACCTTTATCTATTTGTCATTAGTGGATAATAGCTTTGCCTGTAGAGGGATATATTATAATTATGAGTTTATTGATCATAAAATGAGTTATCCAGACAAATACTGGAGGTCAACATCAGAGATATCCATGCCCATACACCCAAAAGGTGGAAGCTTTATTTATTGTTATTCCATGGATAAAGGATTACCTTTCGGAAATTGTCCAGTTAGATGGTGTTTGAAACTAGGATTAATGCAGTTGAATCAAATGTTGGCTATTTAACCGGTGTTACAAAAACATGTAATGTATGAACCCTTATGTATGTAACGTATGATTTTTATTTCCATACATGTATGAAAATGCAGATCATACATATGATGCAAGTCACTTAGTCCCACAACTTTTTATTGATTGTGTAGATTTTCAAATTCTCCAAAATTGGAAATGCAACACCTCAAAATAAATTGTGTATTTGAATCCAAGACCTTCCTCTACAAAACCACAATTTCATGTCATGTTGTTGTGGAGAATTTGAGCTTCAAAGTTGCACAAGTTTACTGAATTTAGACGAATTGAAATAAAATAAAAATTTGAAAAATTTCCCTTATATTGCAGACCTTTTGTCACATGAATTTTCCAGATGAACAGGAAGAGAATTATCTTTATTATTAAAAAAAATACAAAGAACAGCTAAGTTCATTTATTTTAAATCTAATAAATAGACTATTGCCTTAATCAAAGAAATATGCAATTTGCAAATATTCTAATGAATGTTTATCAATTATTTAATAGTTTGTGTAGGAGTAATTGAAGTAAGCTTTAAGGACAAGCAAGATCTATGAACAAAATATACTAACAAAGGTTTTATCAATCATTCAATAGTTTATATAAATTTCTCTTTTATTTTAACTAATATTTAATAACATCACTATAATCATTATTGTTGTTGATTATTGTTCTAATCATCATTTACATATGTAACATATGTATATATAGGAATAAATGTAAAAGAAAAATTTTAATATATTTATTTAGAACTTGACAATTTTCAAAAAATCATGTGACTGTAAAATTTTTATTGCATTTTTGATTGGAAATTTTTTCTCAAAATTGGCAGTGTGGCACCACTGGTGATCACAATTACCATATTCATGAATATTCATTAAGGAGGTTACACTTATCAAAACCAAGTGATTGACACATAATTTTAAGGGATTTTTGGATTTTTGATGTGTAACCCCCTTAATGAATATTCATGAATATGATGATTGTGATCACTAGGCACCAGTGTTGGAAATTAAGTGCGGGGTTTGTGTTACATATTGAATTTAGCCAATCAAATTTGTTCTTCTGGTAGAAACTTTAACGTTGATTGGCTAAATTCAATATGTAACACAAACCCCGCACTCAATTTCCAATACTGTGTGGCACAGAAAGTTGTGAGACCAAGTGACTTGCATTATAGAATATCTTACCAAAATGCCAAGAAAGGTTCCTCCCTTTTTTATTATGCAACAACAGGAGAGACCATCCTATGTAAGGAATGGATTTTCACAATTGATTTCAATTTTTTTTATACAATTTAAAATACTTTTACAAGGGTATTACATAGCCCATTCTTGCAATAAATCATGTGCAAATAATTACACAAATTTGAAGCTTTACACTTTGTTGTTATCATATCTTTTGAATCTCTTTGAATCCCACAACTTTCACAATGAATATTGTTATTAAAGATACTTACATAATAAAATTAAACAATGAAATACAACAAAGAATTTTTTCATTTTTTATGTTTCTGAAAAAAAGTTTTTTTTAAAAAAAAATGATAGATGGTAATAATTGAAAAAAATGATATGATTTACTTGAAGAAAAAATGTCTGAAATTAAACATTGCACAGAATGTAAAACCATTAAATCAGCTAAATTTCATCAACTTAAAGACAATAAATGGAAAGAAGCTAAGAACAACAACTTAGTGAAAGTAACGTGTTGTTTTATGTAACATTTGTTGTATGAGTTTTGTAGAAAATCTTTTAAAAAGAGAACATAGGAGAGTAAAAACCACAGATGTGAAAGGGGAAGAGGAAGAGGTAAGTGAAAAGATCCTATATACAATTTTGATGAAATACAAAGATTGCTCCAAGAAATAGAACCAAGCTTGAAGGGGTTTTTTGACCAACTCTATTAGCAGCTCGGCCATTTGAATGTAATGAACAAACAATGGACCATATGAAGAGATTAATGGTGGTGTTCATGTGTTATCTTCTTGTTTTATTAAATAATACAAAAATTAACTCTTTTAAGCTCGATCTTGCATTCTATTTAGACTCGGTAGATACAAGTATTGGAACAACTACAACATCAAGAGCAGTAGATCGTAAAAAGAAGCAAGTTGCAGATGAACATGAGAAATATGCAGAAAATGCACTTACAAAATATTCAAAAGTACATTCTTGTTGAATGTTGACGATTATCATATATTCACGTCCAGAGACAATATGATACTACCAGTATATCAAGCATAAAATCAGTATCATTTAATAACTGAAACTTTGTTACTTCTAGGAAATCATCTACAAACATTTTTTGCAATTACGTATATTGTGATTACACTAACCATACTAATTTGAATAATTGTAGTGTACTCATGTTATCACAATCATTCTCTACAAAGGTGTCAATCTAAATGTTTGATATCTTGGACTATCTTCAAGTCGAAATCAAAAAAAATGTCAACACACTAAAAGAAAGTATGAATTTATCTGATAATCTAATATTGATATAATAATAACAATAACATGCGCATTTTTACATTTAGACCTTTTTTGAGATCCCCAATTAATTATTTCCGCAGCTGTGATTGGTCATCTGACTGATCAACTAATGAAAATCGCCCCAAATATTTAAAATATTTAGAAAAACAAATATTCATTATAGTCAAACCAATCCTTCCAACGTCTAACCAATCCTTCCAACATCTCAAAGATATTTAACCTTTTAAATATCCACCTTGGCTCTTTTAAGGCTTATCCGTTAGTTATATTTTAGGCTCAGTATCTGGACTGACCGCACCTAGCTAGGTTTTCACTTCTTTTAGGCATTGACCTAATCTAAATAAAGAAATAAAATTAAAAGAAATATACGCACACAACTATACTTATCAAAGGTGTCCCCCTGGTAAGATAGTAATTAATTAATTAGTTAGGTTTGTTTTGGAGCGAATGGTTTACTTCACTGGCAAGAGTTTAAGTTAGGAGATATTTATGTTCGCATTTTATTAAGATATTATGGTTGTTACAAGATAAAGATAAAACTAACTGAACTGAAGATTATATGAAGAAAAGAAATTTACAACATACTTATACATGTTAAAGGTTCTGTCATCTAGTTATTTAGATAAAATGGCACCAGTAATTTCTGTGGAATAATAATTGGTTACTTACGCCTTTATTAATAATAAACAAATAATTTATTATGTTTCGAGTTAGTACAGATTAATACAGACAATTGTGTTTTTTCGTGTAACAGGGCCAGAAACAATTTTGATGGCACGTGCAGACCTCTACTTTAAATTTTATAGTTGAATTCTTAGAAAACCTTCCTTTTCTTGGTAACTAGCAAATTTGTTATAAATACTCCTCCTATTACAAAATAACTTTCTTTGGTTTATATTAATATGAAATGTTTATCTTTTGCTCTGCGTTTTTTTAGTAACTCAATATAATGTGTTCTTTGGTTTTACCATCAGGCTTAACATGGTCACTTTCCTTTCCTTTTTATATTAGATGGTATTTACCTTGTGACAATTAAGTTTATATAGACTCCCTCCTGCTCTTGCTTAGGTCCAAATCCGCTCTATTATTTCATGAGCAAAATAAAATTTTTAAATTGAATCTAGAATAATGTGCAGATTTCCACAACAAATTATTAATGTCTAAACTAGCTATTGTTATATGATAGACATCTAAATTAGGGCAATTACTTATATCTATCTATACTAATAATTTTGCCTTTGAATAACCCTAATGAGAATTTAATCTTTGAAGATTTACAAAATCTTTTAAATGCAAGGATCTTTCTCTGATAGTTATTTCAATAACATTGACTTTTCAGGATATTTTCCTTTAAGGCGTCAATATCACCTACTACAATTTTGCCTCTTTGTGGTTAGGATTAATTATATTTTATGTGATACTTTTAATTATCTTTATTATGAAAAGATATTCACGTCATATTAATAGTGTAACAAATTATTCCTTGTATTACATAAATTATATTTGTTCGCTTTTAAATGTTGTGCGTCAATTTTTAAATTCAAACTCTATTAGTTTTAAATTAAACACAATTGAATTTTCTATTTTTTTTATTTTTGTATCCTCCTTTTCTTTTTCATAAAAAATATTCGCGGAATATTGAAAATTTCACTCATTTATACCTTTTTTTATTATAAATTTAAAAAACAAAGAATATCATACCATCTTTATTCATTCATCAAACAACTATCGTATCCTTTTTTTATTTTATAGAGAAAAAAGTCTGTGATTTTCACAAATTACTTAAATTGAAATATAAAGAATTACGGATAGATGATGATAATATTCATCAATCAAAAAAAAAGATTAATTTTAACATTAATTCCTTAATTTTTAATTTTCTCTATTATAGTTTTTTTAATCTTTTTAGATTCAAGCCAATCGATTTCTTTGAAATTTTTCCGAAGAAAAAAGGTAAGTAATTTTTCCTTGTTATGATTATTATGTACTATTATTAGTCAAAGATTAATATTTAATTATTATAATTTAGTTTAAAACAAAACATTGAATTTGTAATGTCAGTTTCAATTAATGACAATACAACTATAACAAACAATGTGAATAACAATGACGATGAATCAAAATTTATAAATTCAAATAATAATACCAATAATGGTAATAATAGTAATACAGAAAAAAGATCAAGCTTTAGTGGAATTGTTGTTACAACAGTTAAAGTTGTTCAAGTTGGTGATAATGAAAGTCAAAAAGATTCATCATTACAAGATCATGATAATGATAATCAAGTTTCAAAATCAAATGTTGATGATCAATCAGACAAACGCAGAGTTTCTTTTAACATTACTAATAAAAGCTTGAACGAACAACAACAAATTCAACAAAAATTAAAAAGATTTTCATTAAATGAAGATAAAAAAAATAAAAATATCACGAGAAGAAATCGTCAACAACAGCAACAACCACAAGATGTAAATAACTCAAAACATCCCATCTCTCAACTTAAACGTTCTAATGTAAAAAAGTATAAATCGAAATCGTTAAAAGGAAATAAAGTTCTGGAGCCTGCTCCAACTTCAAATCCATTTTCAACAAATGATCCAACTGATATGGATGCCGATCTGCCTCCATTAAAGATTCAAGTACATCCTTGGTTACCAGGTCCTCCTCATCCTCCAAAACTTATCCATGCATCGCTTATTCCTTTATCAAAACATAAAAGACATTTATCAAATCATTCAAATAGACACTCTAGAAAAATTTCTACTCATATCAACATGGCTTCTCGTATTATATTACAAACTTGCAATCCAAGAAAACCTCCATCTAGTATTTTATCTTCTGATACATTTCGTTTTTCACAAATTAATAATAATAACGAATTACAACAAAAAAATCAAGATCAAGAACGCAAACAAAAGCGTGAATCAATTATACTGCCCCAAGGGAATCGTGCTTCTCAAATATTCAGGCGTCAATTACTAGAACAAAGTTTACTATTATCTTTTGGCGGAGCTCCAATCACCAACAACAATATCCCTGTAACAACAATATCACATAATAATATTAACCTAAAACCACCAAGAAGACGTAAAACAAGGAAAGGTAGTAACGCTAAATTAGAAGACAGAGAAGCAAGACGTGAAAGGCGTAGACGTGAAAAGGAAGGAAAAAAATCTATTGATATATCTGGTAATAATAATAACAATAGCAATGTTATAGGTGATGATAATGACAATGACAATGACAACGGGAATGAGAATGATAGAGTTAATGATAATGTAAATAATGACGACAATGATGAAATATTGGAAATATCACAAATATCATTGGAAGAATCATCATCATTATCTCCACCTACTAATATCAATGATTCAACAACAATAACAGCAAAACCATCATCAAGCTTTCATCATCTTTCACCAACCATAAAAGTTTCTGTTATAGATGATAAATCTTCTACTAATTCATCAAAACTTTATCCAACATCTGTAAATACTACATCTCCATCATCACAATTTACAACACAAACAAAAACTACGCCTACCGAAGAATTTGAAAAAAATACTAGTAAAAATACTATCCAAATTAATAATGATAATTTAGAAAGTCATACAACAACATCAACACCGACACCAACACCAACATTGTCATCGTCACCGACATCAACACCAACACTGACACCTTTACCCTCTCCATCTATTAATGTAACAAAGACACATAAAATTGGTATGAGTATTTTAGGTTTATTCAATAGACAATTAAAAGTTGATAATATAGCAACACCTCCTGCATCTTTACGTAATTCTCCTACAACACCTCAATTCCCGCTTTCTCCTAAATCTCCAACAATAACACCATTATCGCCTACATCACCGAAACCTCCATTGTTAAGTTCATCTTCATTAGCATTACCTGCGACAAACAATCGAATAACGTCAACAGCAGCTCATGCGAATAATAATAACAATAATGGTGATGATTCTTCTTCTTTTTCTTCTTCTTCACAACAACAAAATTCATCATCGTCGTCACTATCATCACCATCATCATCAATTAATCAATCAGAAGCAGATAGATTAAGAAAAATGCAAAAATTTGAAGCAATAATTGCCAATTCAGAAATGCCTACAAAGAAATTAAAAGCAGGTAGCAAAATAAGGGCTTTGACAACCGCAATAATAACATCTACAACAACAACAACGACACCTGCCACGACATCATTATCACCACCCATAATAGCGACTAATACAATACAATCTGATAAGAATGAATCTGTTTTATCGTCGCCATCGTCGTCATCATCAAATTCCGTTTCGCAAATTTTGGAAAGTCCTTCAAATCGCAAAGCTTTTGTTCTAGCGAATAAAGTTAATAGTGCTGGTAATAATATTATCAATAATATAAATAATGATGATAACGAAAGTGATAAATTGTCAGTAATATCAAGCAATTCAATGTCACATTCTATAATAGAGTCAATTGCACCATCAGAAACTGAACATTATAATCCAGAAGAAGTGGAAAAACAAGGTTCAATATGTGAAGATGGTGTTATAAGGGTAACATTAACACCAGCTGTATGTAGGTGAAATAGATATTACAGATAAACAAATATATAGAGATAAATACACTGCATATAAATAATTTTCAATTTGTATAATAATTTTTCTTTCATTCTTTTTATATTATTATTTATTTATTAATTAATTAATTATTGTATAAAATATTTTATAAAATATTTTATTATTTATTTATTCAATTAATTCAATTATTTATTGTAATAAAACGAACGCGTTAATTTTGAAATTGCTATTCTCAACAAACTTTTACAAACGAAGAATTCGAAATAATAACAGATGTCACATTCCTTAATCGTGTAACCAACGAGATATGCTTTCATCTACAACAACATCTAATAATCATACCTTTTTCCTAATAAAAAATTCATCATAATTATTCTTTCGTTTGAGTTAAGAATATCTCCGGCTTCGGGGAAATAAAAAAACCAATTTTTAAATATGCACGGTAATAACTGTACTAAGCTCCCCCAAAAAAAAAGAAGAGTAAATTATTGCTTTATCCATGATTGCTCCTATGTAGGCTTTTTTAAGTAATTTGTCTTCAACTAATGAGTTAAGTGAAATGATTGTTTAAAGTATTATAAATGGGTAGACTGATGTCTTGCCTGAGTGATTCTTATTACATACATCATCATCGTCCATAAAGAAAAATGTTCCTTGAGTAAACCTTTAAAACAAAATTTTATCATTTAAGACTTCGTAAATCTTCCTTTATATTATTAATTTTGTTTTAATTATCGTTTCCGCATTATAAATTAACCGTTTTGATTGTCCATAGATGTTCAAATAAAAACAAAACTTATAAAAAACAGTTCCATAACATCAAAAAAAATTAGTAACCAAAAATACTTGAAGAATTGCGGAAGGATAAAAAAAAGACTGATTGGGAACCGGATTCTTTATTTAAGAAAATGGTAACTGAAATTGGCGAGTTATCTATAGAGTAAAAAATCTATTTGACCAACGAAAGATTAATCGTAAAAAAAACCTGTAAAACAAGTAAAAGTGAGAAGGTTTGGCAGGGTTGGAAAATAAACCCTTGACATTTTTAACCCAAGCCTCCTTTCCATGGAGACAAGGGTTTCATCATTTTGACATCCAAGTGGTAGCAGAAGAGTTTTAGTGGTCAAGTCTACTTGGGTTCTCTTCCTGATTTATACGATTTCGAGTTGTAGAGTTCCTTGAAATCATTTCCAATGAATAATATTAAATCTAACATATTGAGCTCAGGTATCAGATTTAATAAATTATCCTTTTTACACCTATGCAGGTCTCTTTATTATCCTCGTGGCACAGACAATGATCCTTGGTAATGAAATAAATCAAAATCTGCCAGTTTTGTACTTATTTTTATTTTTGCTCGATTCAAAAAACAAGACGATGAAGATGTATCAGGTAAATCTAAGGAATGGTTAAGAGCACAAAATGGTAAGGTTATACCTATAAAGTTATGCTATTTATTTCGTGCAACTATACGCATCTGGATCATTTGTTTTTTTAGGGAATACTGACTGGTATAAATAGGCATTGGACAATATGGAACAGCAATAGGAAATTTTAATTTACACTAGAGATATAATAATTGAGTAAGAAACAAATCACCTTACTGTGCAACATCTGCATTACTTTATATTGTATTACATAATAATAATAAACGCGAATGAAAAAAATTTGTTTTTATTTGATTTCCCAAACAATTTTAATAATATGAAGCAAGCCACGGTTATTTAGAAGAAACTTTATCGAAAAATTGGACACCTGATGAATTTTGTAAATGGTATATATCAAATGAGAGTTTTGCAGAAGACAAAAGAAGAATATTGGATCACATTAAGAAAAGTCTTGAAAACATAAACTTATCACTGAAAAGGCGTAGGATATAATTGTGTGCAAATGTAGAAGATTCTATTTGCTCTTCTGTTGCGCATGATTTAAGAGGCAGGTGAAAGATTTTGGACTGTGCCAAGAGACACCAATGGACTATTCGTCCGCTGGGTGTTGAACTATTCGTTCGCCGCAGCCTGTCAAATTTTTTTCATTATATTTGTAGATGTTAAAAAACACAAAGATGATGGCTATATACTTTGAACAACTCAAGCTCACCATTCAGAATAAACGAAAGAGTTCAGCGATTAAAGAATATATCTACACAATTGGCTGAAATTGAATATATTAAGGTACCTTTTTTTTCAATGACATTATTTTAAACATCTGCTAGGATATCTAAATATCTGTTATAAAGACAGCACAGTTGCGGAACCATATAAATGCAGCAGTAAAGGTGCACAATCAGATTGCTGAAGATTTTGTAGCAGTTGGTCAGAAATGGCAAAAGAGGTAATTTTGATAATTTACAGAGTAGTTTTCAACTTTTACTTTGTTTACCTGTTTATTTTATGCTATTAGTGAAAAACACTGAAAAAGAAGAGATTTCATATGTTCATAACCCAAGGTAGGCATAATCAGCCTGTACCATTTTCTTTAATTTTATACTTAATAATAATTGCAATTTGTTTTTATTACTGCAAGTCATGAATATAAAGATAATAGAGGTATTTTGCAGGATTCTCAGTATGATGTAAATCAAGTGGAAAGCATTTATTTAAAAGAACTTGCTTTGGTTGAGGTCCGTACTTTAATCTTCTTATATATCACATTTTTTGTTAATATTCATCACTCAAGTTTTTGTATTTATACACAGGCTTCAAAAAATCCAATTTATGTGAAACTTCTTGGTGTTGGAAATGAAATTGCATGATATGTAATTGTGTCCCAATTTGCATGATCCTATTAGAGGGTTATTTAATGAAAATGAGTGGGAAAGTTTAGAATGGTCTTGGATCAAGTTTTCTTGACTTGCTTATGTCTAGTTAACTGTAATCTGTTTTTCTCTGCAATTAATCAAATGTTATTATTCTAAGGCTGAAAAGAAAGTTATGGATTCACATCCAAATCTATTGGAGCCAGTTGATAAAGATATTAAATATCTATTAGATAAAATATAATCCAGCTCTTAAACAAGCAAGAACAGATTATCATATTAATCTTGATTAACTGGGTGATGTTATCAACAAAAACCCATTTTAAGACATGACTGAAAGAAATCCATACAAATTTAGCAGAGATTGGCCAATCCAATGGGTTCAACGGATTTATAGCAATATGTAAGGCTGTTGTTTATGGTTAATGTCAATATCTTGTTTCTTGTTAATCTTTTTCTGTATTTTGCAGTTTGACTTGTTTCCAAACACCCATTAATATTCTCAATGATATTACTGCATCAGAATTAAGGTTGTGGGTGAAACTCCTCCAGAAATCAATCAACAGAGTTTTGACAGGTTACACATTAATTGTTTATTAGAGTTTTGGCAGAGTTTTGCATTTGGAGGTTTTGTCAATATCAGGGTTTTGACAAGGTATATACTAATTGCACATTAGAGTTTCAACAGAGTTTTGACAGTCATTAAGAGATTTTGGCAAGAAACCTTAATCAGAATACTCTTACCATGATTGGATTGTTAATCGTTTATGGGAGGATGTTTTTCTAAATTTAAATAGCATCATACATATGCGGACATATTTCTCTTTTTTTATGTATCTTTTCTATATTTATGTGACTAATATGAAATTTGTCAATCAGAGGTGAAGTTGAAAACACAGGATGAAAATCCCAAAAAAATCCTGAAAGCCAACACTGATCTATTGGCTGGTATCATTATGCTATCTTAATAATGAAAGTTATGTGTCTAGACTTACAGGTTGCTTTTGGTGAGGTTGTAGGTAATGCATATGGTACAGATAATACAAAAAGAGATGGAGACTGAGAAAAATTGTTAAAAGGTGAATAAAAATTTGATTTTTTAATCTTGTTGAAATTGTGGCATCATCATTAACACCTTTAATTTGTAATATACATGCAATTATCACTTTTCAAACTTCAGCAACTATTAAAAGAAAGAAAAGTTAATGAGTCAGTCAGATCTTGAGAAACTGGAAACATTCTGAATTCTAGTTTATAGTGAGTAATAATGCACATGTCACATTATAATTGTATCTAACACTCTGATGATAACCTTTAATGACCTTCATTTGGGAAGAAAAAGATTTCAAATTCTACTCAATGCATCATGTTGATGATATTTATCTAGTTGACCAGTTTGATGGATTCACAATTTCTAACACAGCAGTCAAGCTCAGAGAGATTCCATATATTATTCATACAATGCTTGGATTTAAGGTAACAAACCATAATTCAATATATCACTGCATATGTTATTTCATGGTTTTTTATTTGCAATTTTTTAACCATTGTTCCTAATTGGCATGTAGTTTTGAGTGTTGAACCTATATGAGTATATTGATTCACTAATGGTAAATAAGCCCCGCTTTGGACATTGTGAAATTCCATAAAAATTATGTATATACTTGATTGATAATGCAAATTTTTATAATAAGATATCAAATAATTTTCAAAACTAACAAATAAAACTTTCTGAGATATAAATTAAAGATTCACCTTGATTTCATGATCAAAGTATCTATGATTTTTATTTATGACTACATGGATGGATTTTTCAGAAGATATCATTACTATGGTATCTTTTGCTGATATTTATGAAATGATTCAATTGTATTTACATCAAGAAGCTCCTATTGATGATGAAATAATGTGTATAATGAATACCCTTTGGTACTTTATTATGTTCCAAATATTTGTTCGTAAAATATTTATATCAATCAAGCTTTACCTCCAAATGTCTATCATTATTAGCATTTCCCAATTGGTAATTGAATTTCACTTGATAGTGAATTCTCATCAACATTTTGGTTATTGATTCTTGATTGGATTCATTAAATAAATATTCTTGCAAATCATCATTATCTACTGCACATTCAATTGGGGTGTTACACATCAGTATAAACACAAACATAGTTGAGCACACTTATAAAAAACTATATGTAAGGATTTTTTA